TATTGGAATGCTGCTCAGTTCTCTGATCAGTGCTTATGTTATGATTGTTGATAACTAACCAAAGTAGATGCCTGCAGAGACTTTAAAATGTAAAATAAAGATGTATGCTGCCCGTCAGCTATTCTCATTAGAAAAGTTAACTTATTTTACTCCATAATTATAGAAACTGTATAGGTGAAAACCAGTATTTTTCTTGTACATTTGTGCAATGCACTGTTATACAAGAATAGGTGTACAAAGCTAAAGAAAAAAAATTGTGGTCATCGATGATAGACTACACGACTTGCGGGCTCTGAAGTCTGCAGAATTCAAGAAGAGAGGTGCAAATGCATTTTTATATGTTTATTCGGGACTCAACTGTTTCACCCTAAAGGAACCTGGGGTTATGGGGGGAAATGAGAGGAAGCCTGAAGACCGACTACCAAAACATGCAATATACTTAGCCACTGTCTAAGCCTGTAGCATAACATGAACTGGATTCTCTGTCCTTTTTTAAATAGCATTTTGTAAAAGAAATGAATGTAGTCCCACAATTCCTCTGGTTTGAAAGGAACACCCTTGTATTTTTTATATGCATCTCTTATCCACTGTGACTTTTCTTTTAAAACTGGGCTCTGGGCTTCCAGAGTTTAGAATGTAGGAATGAACTGCTTAAGCTTTGCCTTTTCTCGGGGGTGTGGACACTGCCAGAAATGTAATTATGCTCAAGTGCATTAATTGAAGGCACGGTGCACCCTGTTGGACTGCTGACTATAGTTATGTTACCTGTAAAATTCCCTAACTGGTCACGGCACATCCATAATCACTGTATTTTTTGACCCTGATAAAACCAATTATTTTGATGGTGTCCTGGTACTGTAAACGGCGTCCTTTAAATTATTTAGTAACATTTGGGTGTGGGGCAGGGAAGAGAGGACTGGTGTCCAGAGAGACACCACATTTTGCATCCTATCTTACCATCCCCTATTTTTCCTCACCTTCCTTCTATCCTTTTTGTTAAAATAAAAAGCATTGTAGTTGTTGGTTTGTGTTGTATTTTAAGAAAAGGTGATTTTCGTGTGCATCATTTAGAAACTTTACAAATTATCTTCATTATTCAATATGATTTTCCATAAAAGGGGGAGAACAAAATTAGTTGATTACCTGCCCTGGCCCGTTTGCTGACCGTGGTTAGAGCATCAGCCCTGAGACTGAAGGGTTGCGGATCTGAATGCAGTCAAGGGCATGTACCTCAGCTGCAGGCTTGCTCCCTGGCCCCCGTCGGGGTGCATGCCAGAGGCAACCTATATGTCTCTCCCCCTCCCTTCCACCTTCTGAAAATCAATGGAAAAAATATCCTCAGGTGAGGATTAACGACAAAAATTAGTTGATTACCCAAATCAAACATTTCAAACAGTTGAAGTTTGCTTTCATGTTTGTTTATATGTAACTACATCCATTAATAAAGTAATGAAAATTAACACACCTGCAGAAATCAAGATGCAAATGTACAATCATTAGGATTGTCCTTTTTCCAAAGGGTTTTCCTCAAACCTGTACTTCTTTGCTCCTGATCCTCTAAATCCACACTATGCACTTACTGGCAAAATATATCAAATGTTTAACTTATTAAACACCTTAATCATTTTCAAAATAGTTTATAAAATAAACCAAAAGAAGAGATCTGGACGTTCCCTCACACTACTTCTAAAATAGAAGGCCAAGGGGTTTTTACACAACGCAGAAAATATTTCCTGCTGTAGGTGACGTAACATAACCGGTTTGGTTACAACCTAAAATTTAGCAAATAGTTACGCATCTCTTGGAACAGACTCACCGAGTCTCCCCGCTTCGGGTCTGTGAGAACTGCTCAGACACCACGCCAGCATAACCTCGACGGGAGGGAAGAAGATACCAGAATCAATGTAATTATAATTGTGTTTTATGACTAAAAATTTTTTTCAAAGTAATACACTGTTGCTTTAGCAAATGTAGGAAATGTGAAGAAAATTATCAATTTCTTGACACCTCCAGATCACAGTAATCTGGAGTATTTCTAGACTCTCAATCTCGCTCAAAAAGTTCACATTCAGTGCTCGCTTCGGCAGCACATATACTAAAATTGGAACAATACAGAGAAGATTAGCATGGCCCCTGCGCAAGGATGACACACAAATTCGTGAAGCGTTCCATATTTTTTAAAAAAAAAAAAAAGTTCACATTCATAAATTCTAATTGTATACATACAGCTCAATACCATCTCATTGCTGGAATGTTATCACTGTAACTCCTTAAAAAAAAATTTTTTTATTTCAAAAAGAGGAAGGAGCAGAGAAACATCATTGATTGGCTGCCTCCTGCATGCCCCCTACTGGGGATCGAGCCTGCAATCCGGGCATGTGCCCTGACAGGGAATCAAACCGTGACCTCCTAGTTCATAGGTTGACATTCAATTAAATCACACCAGCCATCACTGTAACTCATGAAAATGATGTTTTGTGCCACTTGATTCAATGTCTGAATCCCCACTAAGTAAAACATAGTTTGATCCTTGCTTCTCTCAACTGTAAAATAGGATTCGCTGCTCTATTAGGAAATTTTAATTACCCATGTTAATAGCCAATGAATTTCTCTCAGGACCCAAAGCAGGTATCTTTCTACTGTTCCCTCATTCAGCAAATGCCTGAGAGCATACTGTACACCGCATGCATGCCATACCAGTCAAATGAGTTTCCTATTCTTACACTCGACTAAATCAGTAACAGGTGTCAGAATGAAACAGTACCTTCACCACCACCTAGGGTTCTTGTCACTCATTCCTCTCTGATCCCCACCCCCCATCATTTTATCTGAGCATTGCAGGCCTCCTTACTGATTTACAGACATGCATTGTACGGCCAGAGTTACTTCTTTTTAAAGGTGAATCTGTTGGTCACTATCCCACCATAGCTTTAAAACTTTCCAGTAGATTCTCACTGATGACAGGTACCTGAGCAAAGTCAAAAAGGTGTTCCCAGTCTGGGCCTGCCAGTCTCACCGACTATCGTGCCCATTCCTGTCCCCAGTGTTCTACCACAGGTCTCCTGGTTTCTCCCACCCCTGGGCCTTTGCACATGTCAGCTTAATCTGGGAAGTTTCTCCTCATCCTCCAGAAGTTTCTGGGCCTCATCCTCCAGAAATTCTGTTTCTTTGTTATGGGGTGGAGCCACAACATTAGTAACAAACAGAATTTCCAGAGGATGAGGCCCAGAAATCAGGATTTTTAAAAGATACCCAGCCCTAACCAGTTTGGCTCAGTGGATTAGCCCTTTACCTAATTCAGCTCATCCAAACTTCAGCTGAAGTGTCATTTTTAAAGCAAGCCCTCCCTAATCTGTCCAAGTCCAATCCCCTATTAACATGGCAGAAATTCTATTTTACATTTTTTTTAATGCAAAAATGGATGGCCCTCTCCCCCTACATTAGAAGCTCCGTAAGGGCAGAGGCCACACCCATGTTTTTCCGTGGTACTAAGTGCAAAGCTGACTCAACTGCTCGTTTTCTCGCTTCAATTACATAAGCAACACCTGGGTGCTTGTTAAATGCTGCTACAGCAATTCAGTGGGGGCAGAAGCCTGGGATCTGCATTTTCACGAGCCACCTTCCTAAGTCCATATGGATGCAGAGGGCCTTTCCCATCGCTCTAAGGCAGTGGTTCTCAACCTTGGCTGCACATTAGAATCACCTGGGAATCTTTTTAAAATTCTGATTTCTGGGCCTCATCCTCCAGAAATTCTGTTTCTTTGTTATGGGGTGGGGCCACAACATCCCTCTCCCTTCCTCTGTAAAAAAATCAGTAAAATATATTTTTAAAATTGTATAAAAAAAGATTCCCAGGTGATTCTAATGTGCAGCCAAGGTTGAGAACCACTGCTCTAAGGGCTCTAGAGACCTCAAACTCATTTTAGGTTTTTATTCCTTCTCTGTCTACATACAAGCATCCCAGATGTTAACAGGCTTACTTTTATGGCACCTCTAAGGCAGTAAGGGTTAACTTAAACGGGTTGGTTAGAAAATTGGAAAGAGACATAATTAGCACCTGGTGCCTATCATGTGTTATCTATAACCTTTAAGTCAATAGCCCTCAACTCCGTTGTCATTAGAATCCCCTGCCACTAACTGAAGTGCCGCCCCCCCACCACCTCCACCCCAGAACTCTTTAATGGAGCCTCGGGGCCTTGTGTTTTCCTGGGACTGGGGTGCAGTTAGGAGAGAATCCTTAGGTTAGAGATGTCGAAAACACTTTCCAGTTACAGAACAGCAAGTTGATAGAAACAAAGGCTAAAGCTGTCTTCGTCAACTCACTTGAAAAAATCCTTACACTTAGGAGGCCTCGTTATAAACTAGAAGTCCATTTAATGAATGTATTTAACATCTTAAAGAAGCTGCCTTTAGCAACCCTATTCCAAGCCCCAACTGTGAGACTGATGATTAATAATGCAGTTTTGTTCACAGCACGCCTCTCCCCACTACCCCGAGTTTGTTACCTACTAGACTGAGGTCGCCAGGATGCACTGAAGTTCCCACCCACAGCTAGCCAGCCACTCGGGGTTACCCCAAATTGCCCCACACAGCAGGATGGCTCTGCCTCCACCTTCAGAAGCATGCTTATTCGATGGCTAGTTGGCTTCTCTTTATTCATATCTTGCTTATAAGCTTCAGCCCTACCCTCCCACATAAGCAGTAAATCTCACATCTATGAGCCCCTCTTATACTTTCCTCCAGTGATGAATATGCCTCAGAGCCTGGCTGCTCCATATGCAACCTATAATAACAAAAGTGCACTATGCTAATTAGACCGGACAGCTGAACGACCTTCCGGACGTCCTTCTGGACAAAGCCAGGGCTGCAAGGGCCGTGCCCCTGGTGTGAATTTTGTGCATCGGGCCTCTCGTGAACAAATAATAAACATGACAGGCCCAGACTGTTAGCACAGGACAAGCTCTCCTAAACTTTATTTTAAAAGACACGATTTTATGGAATTGTTTTGCAATTCTTTTTATTTAAAGGTTTTGTCAAGAAACACAGCCTTGCACGAGGAGGCAAAAAGGAGAAGGGCCACACAGCTCACTTGTCCGCTCCACTAGCACGCGGTCGGAAGGACGGGTTTTTTACATTCATTTAAATGATATATTTGAAGCTGAACGTGCTGTCACAGGACAGGCGTTTGCCTTTGCACCTCCCACACAAATCTTGCCGGTGGGGCCGTTTAGGGTCAATGTGGCGAAGTTTTATTGAGCAGGAGCATCTAGTCTGTTTACAACTCTGAAAAATCAAATGAGAAGCGCGTTCAGAAGGTAACCTCTGGGTGACTTCCTGGAAGTTTAAAAGTTTTTCCCTAGTCCAAATGCTGCTTGAATGCACTCTCAGCAAGGCCCTGTGCTAATCTTGCCTGAATCCTTTCTAGCAAGGATAGGATTATGAATAGAGGGTGCTTAACCCTTTGCCGTAGTCCCACATTACACAGGATTTAGTTCGGAATTGTTTCTTTTGAAACAATTTTCTTACAGGAAGTCTTTTCCTGCACTTGAAGGGTGGAGAATAAGCAAGCTGGGGTGAGGAAATGAAAAACAAAAGAACTTTTAAATAAAAACAGAAGTACTGCAAAACAAGGAAAGCGACTGTGGGAGGCTAGTGCCTAGCAGCAAGCCCTGGCTCTGGGCTGGCATCAATGGCCTGGCCTCCCCACCCCAACCTACTGTAAGCGACCTCACACGGAGGCAGAAGGCAAAGACATCCTCCTTTAGAACCTGACCCAACTCTGCCATGACCTCAGTGCGTCTACAGTTTGCCACACTTCTGGGGGACTTAGATTTACTTTCAAACAAATGATTCTCCTTTTTGCAAGCTCTCAGGCGAGACTGAACCTTAAAACCCCATGCTTAGCTCGGCCGGTGTGGGTGAGTGGATGAGTGTCAACCTATGAACCAGGAGGTCAGGGTTTCAGGGTTCAATTCCCAGTCAGGGCACATGCTCAATCCTGGGGCAGGGGG